CATCATTTTCCGTGGTATTCACAGAAAATGGGTCCATAAATCCACACATGCCCTTCTCTGGGATCATCAAATGACTCTGTCAGTTGTGAAAGGTGCTGACAGACTGACCTTCACCTGAGGGGAGTTTTCTGAGGTGTGGGACAACAGTGGAAAGATGTCCATCGTTTTCTCCTGGGCCCTCTTAGTCCACAAAGCAAGTTTCTCTTGAAGTGAGACGTTCAGCAGTGAGAAAACGTCACAGACGAGCTCAGCTGTGAACTTGGCATGATAATGTCTAAGAGGAGATTTCTTTCTTCTTTGTGTGTGATAAGAGAAGACCTCATTCCTCAGTTCAAACAAACGCTCGAGGACCAGTCCTGTCCCATCTCATCTCACTGTGGCAGCTGGACATGATCTGCTTCCATGTCCTCACAAAACATCTGGAGTTCACAGCATTGTTTTTAATGAAGTTGATTGTTTTCACACTTCCATCATCTCGTGGTCACATCGTTTCTAGCTTCTGGTGCACGATCAAGAATCAGCGTAATGACGCCCTGATGGCTGCCAGTCATTGAAGCTGCAGCATCACTGCACACCCCAACACAGTTCTGCTGGTCCAGGTCATTCACAGTGAAACATCCTGAGCCGTGTTGGCAGCTCTCCAGTCTTCATGCAAACTGCTGTCCCAGCAATAACCAACAGAAACCAGCAGCATTGGAGACATCAGTGGACTCGCCTAGGTGCAAAGAGACACATGGACTCCTTTTACTCTTTCCAGAAACTGATGCTGTGTCTCAGGCCCTGTCTGTGATACGCTCAGTGTCGTTTGTCACTTTCATCTTTTGTGTTTTAAGAGCTTCTCCACATCTAACTGTAAATGGCAGACGGCGTCTTCTTCTGCTTGCTTATTGAGCTGGTTAAACACCTCTCACCAAGCAGTGGGGAGCTGCATTGTAACTGAGCTTTTCATGGTGAGAGTAGGTGTAAAACTAAACTCACGGTGTGGCAGGCGGCCCATCCATGGTTAAGAATCACTGCCCTGCACCATTTACTGATCACAAAGTTAAATCAATTAAAATAAACATCATCTCTAAACCTGCTACTAACTCTGGTTACTGGGAACTCAGTAGCTCACTATTTATTTTTTTTTAAACTTTTATTGCCAAAAATAACAAGACACATCGACAACATGACCTGAGACCTAATCGGCTGCATATAATGGTGGGGGTTATTCAAAAACTTAATTTAAAAGAAAAAACATATATACATACATACCAATACCTAAGCACAGATGTAACAATGTTAAGGCTTGAGTGTTTCAAGATATTTTATAATTAGTCTCCATTTTTTCTCAAAGGTTGGCACTTTTAGTTGTAGTTGAGCTGTTATCCGTTCCATCGTATAGACATGTCTAGTTTTCAG